CTAGTGAAAACGATTATTTAGTTGAGCCAAAACAAATGTATAGTTCATGAAATTGTTTAACATTCTCCAAAAATGCCACAATTCGATTTTCATTTTACATTGCTTTATTTCAACATCGAAGAAATCGGCCCCTGACATCATGCACAGCCAGAAAAAAAAAAGAAACAAATAAGCAAGGGAAAATAACAATTAAACCCTGATTATGTATATTCCGCAGAAATCATTTTATGCATTGTTCTCTCTCGCGGTACTGAAGTTGTAGTAGTTGACGTGCAGAAGTACATTGTGCATGATGAAGTTATTCCTCCTTTACTTTTACCCTCACCACAAGAGAGACCTGTACTTGAGCTAGAATGTGGATCAGTTCCGGCGTTAGCAGGAAATGAAATATCGGCTGCGGAGTCACAAAACTTCCCATTGAATGACCTAATCTGTTTACCACAAAGAGAAAAGGCATTTCAAGCCTGCTTTTTAGTTGCTTCTGAAAGTTCACATGCTGTAAATTTAATGAAATACACTTCTCTCCAAAAGATGACATGAAAGTTACTTCTCTGTTTTCAGTTATTAAGGCAAAATACCAGCTACAGCATTACGGTACCGAGAAAGAAAAATTGAATATAACTATTTATGTTTCTGGTCAAAAAATTTACCTTGTTTGAAATTTTATTTCCTTTTCCCAGGGAATGGTAAGGACCTCAAAACAAGTTTAAATCAAAAGAAAACAAAAATAAAAACATGACAGAACATGTATTTTGTCAAGATGCTCTGACACAGACTGGGAACCTTAACGTTATTATATATTATATGAACCTTTTCTTTTTGTGGGGCGGAAATAGAGAGCAATTGAGCGACGCGCGACAACCGGAAGGGGAAGTACCTTTTTTCCTTTCTATATACCTCCACGCTAACAAATTTGTCTTTACTAAGTGTCTTTACTCTCATCATAAGACACGATTTGCCTGAACATTTGGACAAAACCACTGCCCAAGAATAAAACAGTCTCTGCTTCCGGTTGAGTGCGATGCTCAAACACTCGGCTTTGTTCCAGGCTTTGTTTGTGACCTAAACGTAACCAGAGTTAAGATAGAATTCTACCAAAAGAATCAAGCCGAATTTCATTTTAAGGCGCGCGGGACAACCTTCAGTTGGTTATTGGTGGCTGGAGGTGGTCATCTTATTTTGAAAAGGAAAACCACCAAAGAGCAATGACGTAGCTGCGTCACAGCAAGTCATAGCATAGAAATTAGAAAAGCTGAAAGCTTTATTAAGTAACCTTAAGCCGACTGGAACCAGTTTTTAATTAGAAGTGACTATAAACGACTTGCACCGTTTGTTGTAGCAATATGAATCGACAGAATCGTGGTTTCCCGACAGGGGTTTTTATTGACCAAAGATACAAGAGACAGTCAGGACAATGTAGCGGCCATGAATCCTGCAAAAAAGTTGCTCTCCCATCTCTGCTTTCCTTCACGATTATGTTTTTGTTGGTTGGTTTTATTTTGACCATGGTTGGAAACTTTGCGAAACCTTTCTGGGGCCCTGAAGATGACTGATGTGACTTCTGTAAAGAAGGCAGGCTTAAGACGGAGCGAAATCTGAAGAATTGTCGAATCGTTGGGCCAATTTTCTTGGGGATGGGCGGTTTATCTTTAATTGTTACAATAGCGTATATTTGCATCCAGAGAAAGAACAATACTGGACAAGTTATAAGCTGACCGAATACTGGTCAAATACGTTCAACAACTTAAGGAGGATCGGGCAATGTGACGACCACCACTCAATATCCTAGCCCCTATGGCTTTCCACAGCCCGCGTATGGACAAACACCCGAGTATCCCTCGGGATCAGGACCTTATACTTCAACACTCGCTGGATATGCGTCTTATCCGACGGTACCAGCTTATCCCCCATCTACTCAGTACCCCTATAATTCTTCACAGAGTGGTCCACAGTCACTATCTCCAACAGAGATAATTCCACCCCCATCGTATGAAAGTATTGTTGGCCAAAGTAACTCTGCTCCAAGTGCTCCCCCGGAGACGCAAGTTTGTTAAAAAGAGATGAAAGAATGAACGGTCAGATTTTACTGCTTCTTTTCCTTACGTTGTAGTGATAAATATAGATATTTACATTTCATATGATGTTGTCATTGTCTCCAGCTATATAAGGCTATCTCGAGGAAGGTTGTTGGAAAAAATGAGCACGCGACAATCCCGAAAAGTAAAATGGGATATGATCAATACACGGTGCCTGACACTATAGTTAGCTGTCGAACCTACTTTTGTTGCTTTCATTTAGCACTCGCAGACCTACATCCATGGCCTCTCGTGCCATTCTTTCAAATTTTCTCTGAAGAATAGTGAATTAAAAAACCATCCACAATTATACCTTTCGGGATTGTCGCGTACACTCTTTTCGAAAACGTTTCTCGAAATAGCTGTATACGCATAAACGTGCGTCTGATGGCCGAGTACGTATCAATGAACATCTCCGCGTAATCGTGAGTTGTTGCACGGAAGTTAAAACGAGGGCCAAAAAAAAACGGGAAATTGAGGGGGAAGGGGAGGGGAGGAAGGTGACACTCATAGACAGTAACACCGGACTGTAGGGATTGAGCGGTCACTGTTTACTTCAAGATACAACCTATACATCTATGTGCTAATTTGGAGGACGGATATGATTTCAGGCAGAAACCGCGAACACGGTTGGCGCTTATTGAGTTAGAGTGAGGAAGGGGGAAGGGGTGGGCGCTTATTCGAGGTTGCGCGCTTATTCGGATAAATACGGTATGTGGAAAGCCTTAAATAACATAGTTTGTCTTAAGATACCTGACCACATTTTTTATTGGAAAGGTGATTATATTAAAATCATCCGTCTGTGAAGTTCATTCAACCCTCCGAATTATTAGGAAATACTTACAAGTTAAGGCGAGAGAGAATACGTCACGGATATAGCCAGACCTAACACTGGTCAATTACGATCAGCAACAAACGGAGGATCGGGCAATGTGACCACCACCATCACACAACATCCTAACCCCTATGGCATTCAACAGCTTTACGGGCATTCCGAGAATCCCTCGGGATCGGGTTCTTATCCTTCACAACCCGCTGGACATGTGACTTATCAAACGGAAGCAGCTTATCCTTCATCTTTTAGGTACTCCTACAATTCTTCACAGAATAGTCGACAGGCACCATGCCTAACAGCGACACCCCCACACCCATCTTTTCAAAGTTTCGTTGGCCAAAGAAACGTTGCTGCCAGTGCCCCCGGAGACGCAAGTGTATTGAAAGAGATGAAGGAATTTGCGGCTTGTTTTCCTTTTTTTGTAGTATAAAATGCCAAAGCTTGTGATAAGAGAGGATTTTTGTGATAAATATTGAATTTACTTGTAGACGCATAAACGTGCGGTCCCAGTTTGCTTCCTGATAATATACGTATCAATGAACATTTCCGCGCATGAGCTGTAGCACGGAAGTAAAAACGAAGGCAAAAAAGGGGGGAAGGGGAGGGAAGGAAGGTGATACTCTTTGCTCCTGATAAATGATCCATAGACAAAACCGCACTGGCCCGTAGTAGGAAGCGAGTATTCGCTGGTTTACTTTCAAAACAATGATAACTTAACTCAGAGGCAATACAGTGTCTGAGCTCAAGAATTTAGAGAAGGTCAGTAACTCTCCAGTCATGGTCTGTGATTGGAGAACGAAAAAATAAATGATTCAACACAAACAATACCCCTAGGCCTACTGAAAACCGAAGCTACTGGTTATTTAGGCCAATGAAAATAGAGGTCTGGAAGAGCTAGAATTCACTGTTAGGTGATTTTTGGAAAAAGTACTGCTTTACGAAAGGGCAGCGGAAAAACATAAGAATATAACTTAAGTCTATAAATAGAAAGATGGATTTCTTATGACTCATCCGGCGTGCGGAGTTGCAAGAATCTCGCGACAACATATATTGGTACAGAATTGGAAAGTTGGGTGAATTAAAAATGAAACAAAAAGAGTGAAAAAGGGTATACACATTATATCTACGTGGTCTGCCAAGAAACTTTAATTTCTGGCTTTGCCTATTTTCACTTTCGCTCTGTAGTAATTAAAATAATTATTAAAAAAAACCTCCAAAAATTTATCAAACATTAACTGTGCCAGCAGTGAAAACCAGCCTTTATAAAATTCTGAATCAATCTCGGTAAGAAATAAATAAAATATATTTAATGGGTTCTATTCACTCCTCTGTTTTCGGCCTGCAGCAAGAGTGGCGTTGTAGCCAGGAGATAAATCTGGTCACTCTTTGTTTCTGCAAAGATAAAGTATACAACCAAAGGAGATTGTTAACTACGAAAATACCCAGTTGAAACGCTATCTTCAAGAGCGACGAAGAGCTACGCCACACTGATTAGGTGCTAGTCTCTTTTGGTCCGAGAAAACAGCGTTTTACTTTTTTTACTGATATACCACAACCTGCCATGTTTAATCACGGAGTCTTTGTCTCGCAGCAATGAGTGGCCATGACATGACATGGATGTTAGTAAGAGACTAAACATGGACACAATAACAGATGTCGCCTCTACCGAGAACAAACCCTCATTTACACGAGAAAAACTTGCTTTTATATCTGAATCACCGCCGTAGCCAGTATGAGGCGAACCGAGGCACTCGCCTCGGTAAAATTTTACCAAATACTGTCGATTTTTATTTTTTTTATCAGACTGATAATATTAGAAGATTTCATACGGCTGATTTCGTACAACGGACCGTGTGTTCGCCTCGGTTGCAGTTTCTTCCTGGCTACGGCCCTGATTTTCTACCACGTAAAGGACGATATTTGCTTTGTAATGGTTGTGGAGATGATACGCATCTGCTCAAAAAACCTGTCCCCACCCACCACTGATTGATTAGTAAACTGCGGGCAATTATACACAGTCGTGAGACAGGGTATCATTACCACACTCCCAGGATTTTCATAACTTGATCTACTGAAACCATTCTAGGCCAATTCAATTTCGCAGAGTATCTGTAATTTTTGAGCCAACTCACCAAAGTCTTTGGTTTTTTCTCTCCAGTTCGTCTTCTTTCCTCTTTACGAGTTGAAACTTCCCTTCCCCCATCGCAGGAGTCTACAGATTGACGGTTGTTCGCGAGGGAGAGCCGATGCTTGGAAGAAGCAGTTGTCGGCTGGCAAAGTCCACCTTTTGGTTCGTCGCTTCCTCTCTCATGTCTCTCTTCAATTTTCACAGGCGAAGATTCAAACGCCTTGTTGCAAGAGGTGATGATGGTGAGCGTGGTGGCATTGGAACGATTAATCTGCGGTATCCGAGGTGCACGGTCGGCTCCTTTTACAGCCAGTGTTGCTGTATTTACCCATTCTGGTGCACAAATGGCGAGTTGCTGCGGGTGTTTGCCCGGTGTTGTATGCACTTCACTGTAGATAGCTGATGATTGAGCAACCTCAGGAACTTCAGGGATAGACCAGCTGCTGGTGTTATTAATAAGCGGCAACAGGAACTCGATTGGGTTTTGGCCTTGGAAGGGAGCAAGTCTTATCACGAAAATTGTTTTGAGACAGACGATGGTACTTGGGACTAACTCGATGACACTCTGCGCTATCAGACTTGTTCGGAAATCCGTTTTCTTCACCATGTTCAGAGCGGCAGTTATTTTGTTGCCGCCGTCTAAAACAGTTCTGGCTCTCTCTGAATTAGGCGGTTTTGGTGACACCAGGACTCCCTGTGTTACGCTATAACTCTGAGGCAACACTGCAACCGTCTTTCCTTCCATTGGTCGATTATTAGTGTCGAGCTCTGTGATGGTCGCTCCTCCAGACGATGATCCGGGCCACTGGAAGTACTTTAGCAGTTCAAAGTACCCCTGGTAATAATATCTAAGGTGCTGATACATCCACTCGCCTACGCTGTAGCCTAAATCGAGTTCCTGTTTTGCTCGGTCAAGTTCTTGTTTCCTCTGCTGAAGCTCCTGGGTGCTCTGATCAAGCTTATCTAACAGTGAAGTACAGTGGGCTTTCATCTTGAGATTTCTTGTCTTCACATCGTTTAGTTCCCTAACTGCGTTCTTATGCCTCCACTTGATGTCCTGTTGCGATTCCTTTAGACGCGCTAACTCTTTCTTCAATTTATTTTCTTTTAACTTTCTCGACGTTTCGAGATCCTTGAAGTTCTTTTGAGATTTTTCCAACTCTTCTCTCTGGATATGATTATCCTCTTCCAGCCACTGTCGCTCTGATTGCAGGTTGTTAATCACTGCAGCGTGTTGCGCTATGGTAGCTGCTTGTTGGTTCACAATTGCTACAAGCTGCTCATAGCTGTACACATACATCTGTGCCATCCTTAAAAGACGGAATCTTTTAAATTCACTAAAAAAATGTTTTCTTAGAAACAAAATCACTTTACCGCTCTATATGAACTTCCGTTAAATCTCAATCACGTTCTTCTTCTTCCAAAAGTGAGATTTTAAAATTCAGTGATGTCATAAACAATTACCCTTACTTGTAAATTTCTTTTGCGCGCGCACTAGCGCGCGCTGGCTTTTGTATGTAGAGCTGCGATACTCCCCACTGCGTCTCGCCTTTCTCGCGTGGGGTGATTTTCACGCGCGCTCGCGTTTTGCTCGCTCTACTATCTCTGAGGACACATGGGGGACTACTCGTATTCTAGAGTGGCGCTAACCGGGGTTAAATTTTATTCGGGTTTCATATCATCTTGGTTTCTCGGAAATTTTCTTTGCTCTTTTCAGAGCAACCAATCCACAAACTGTAGCCAAAAGAATTAAACTGAATTTGCTTTTTAAGCTTCCATGTCTGAATTAAAATTTCGCAGTTACCTGGCTTATCCCAGCTTGAACAACCCGGCCCAGAAAACATTTTGGTCCAGTTCATTAGCAGAATTGCAGAAATACTATTTGTAATCATTTCAAAGGGACAAATTGGTAAACTTTACATGATCGATAAGTATGGTAGCCTCAGCTCCCAAGGATCGTTTAAAATGAATGAGAAATATTCATTTCAATGAGAAAAAATTCATTGAAAATTTAATAAGCGCCCACTCTCAAGGTCCAAAAATTTAATAAGCGCCCAGGGCGGTTAATAGAATAAATACGGTAGCATGATAAGTTTTTTCTAGTCAACAAGGCTCGCGATAAGGCTAAAATGTATTTAGAAAATAATATTTAAACTAATCGTACTGAATGATCACGGCTTTTTTGTCAGCGACAAAATTCTCATTCAGGTGAAAAGTTATGACTCTAAGAAAGAGAATTTCCCTCAATTTGCAAAATGAAAGGCTAATTTCCACAAGTTGAATTCTTAGGGACCGTGTCCAAGTTCAGAAAGGTAAAGGAAAATTCGTCGTCATATAGTCACGACCTCCATAAAGCGGCGCATCACGAAATTCCCGTCGAAGTCGTTCAGTGACCGTAAGGAAATGTATCAAAAAGCGTTTTGCTATTATTTTTTCTTACGTTCACCGTCGCCGTTGCTTAAGTTATTATTTGTCACAATATACGTTGCGCGCAGTCGTTTAACCTGCATGGTTGAGGTCCAAAAGGAAGAAATTCGCGCACGTGCTCAAAAAGTTCTTGTCCAGACGTTGCTATGAACGACCTATGTGACTGCAAACTTGAAATACTGCAAATTTTCGGGAAATCAAATTCTAGTGCTATCACATAGTTGCACCGGGTCTATTCCTCAGCTCGTCTCTTTTCTTCCGTTGTTCTTTCTTGACTTTTCTGTGCATCTGCGCACTGAAGATCTCCTGGTTGAATTTTACCCTTTTAGGTTTAAAATCGGGATCCATGTAAGCTTTCTGCCGAGGGATACCAAGATTGTTGTTCAGTTGGTCGGCCTGTGCATCATCATGAAACATTTCCATGTTTGCTTTTATTCTGGGGTTGAATTCATAAGTGGGTTCCAGTGGCGCTTCCCCGAGCGCTTTCTGTCTTTGGTGTTTCATCTTCTCCGCGTGCTTTATGTAAGCGACCTCTTGAGAGTTCTTGTAGCCTGCAAAATAAAAGGCAGGATTTAAAGAACAGCCCCTTTTATCAGCCTGAGAAAACAGCCGACATTTCGCGACGCCACCACTGGTTTCCCCGCGAAATGACGTCTGAGAAACCAGCGCAGAAATTCCATACTGATGACGTGTCACTACCCAGATCTGGGTAGTGCTTCTGATTGGTTGAAAATTTGCTTCATCTTTCCTCTTCATTAGAGGAAAGACATGATTTTAGAACATAAACTACAGTATATAGGAGGGTAAGGCTGATGATATACTTTAACTAAAATATTTTGATAAAAGTTCACATTTGAGGGAAAATTTAAAATTAGCTAGACTAGTCATGGTAGTTGAATGTTTGCTTAGAGAGTTCCAAGGATGAAAGAGTAACTGTGCCATGTCATTTTCAGTATTCACAAGTCACTTTTTTGCAGCCTCGATTATGCAATTCTCCCCATTAATGTGTGAATTAAGTCCATGATTTACTACCTGTGGTAAATTCCACGTATTCCCAGGGTTTCTTCCCTTAAAGCCCTGGGAGTAAGGCTGGCAACATACCTGCTTTCATGTTTTCCCAAAAACCACCAGGATCTTGTGAACTTGGATGGGTTATCATCTCTGGAATTCCCATTGCTTTCCTTGCTGCAGGATGTTTAAGCAATGCAACTTGCCCAATAGTAAAAAGGTTGGAAGTCACCCAATAGGAAAAGATGGCCTGTGAAACAAAAACAAAAAAACAATATTAGTCAGTTTTTTAAACTTTTATCAGGCCAATGGGAACAAAATTGAAAGTGTGAGGGCACAACAGTTAGCTGGGTCGCAGGGGTCGCAGGCCCATTCCTGTAACAGGGTCCGTAGGTATCCTTCCCCCAAAAATGACATCTTCTTAAACAAATTATTAAATTTTCCTCCAAAAAAGTGGGGGGGAAAGCATGGGATCATAAAATACCCACCCCCCCCCCCCCCCCCACCCAACCACAGATTACAAATACCAAAACTCAAGTAGGAAAAGACCTGAAACAATCATTACAAAACCTAAAAAAAAAAACAAGCAAACACCCACAAAACCAGTAAAATTATACATACATAAATTTTTAATTATCGCTTCATTTT